TGCGTTGTTTGCCCGACTCCCTTGTTCTTGACTGCGTGTATCCCCCGTTAAGGTGTGTAGCTTGTGTATTCTTCATTACTTGTTTAATAGTATCGTACTACACCAAATATTGTTATCATTGGGAATTGACGTACGCGGTACGAGTGGATACAGTCACGGGGTATAGGGTACTCCAAACAATACCGTAATAATAAACGAGCGAGTAGGAGGCGATTTGAATGGAAATTCCATAATAAGAAACTTTTAAAACCAAAAGTCTGGAAATAGCATGACACCGCAAAATGGGACCTTGGCGTACACTGGAATTACCTATGTTCGATTCGAGACATTTCTTTATCTCCTCGAAGGGTCCACACAAGTCCATGGAGAGGGTAGAGATTTTGGATGCATCGTCTGCAAACTCAGAAAGCTCCTCTTTCGCCTTACTAAGACGAGTCTTGTTACGAGCAACAATCGTCACATAGGCTCCACGTTTTGCAGCCTCACGAGCCAGGGCCAATCCAATACCGGATGAGCCTCCAGTAATTAGGACATGCCTGTTGCGAATATCCACACAATGCGGCCTGTTGAACCAGCGCCAAACGAGATAGCTGATAATCGTCACCGTAAGGAAGGCAAAGACGGGAGTAAACATGGCTGAAATAGAAGAAACGAGAAAAAAACATAAACTGGCCTGGCTTTGAAAGACGAATTCAGTTTGAAAGGTAGTTTGACCGCAGTAAAGTAAACGCATTGTTGGTACTCGCACCCACCCACCCCCTTCCCCTATGTTTCATATAAAAAAGACCGTCTGTCTTAAAGACCGTCTAAGTTCGTTTTAGCATCATATGCGGCAAACAGTTTTGTTCCTAGCTGGCCTAATATGTATACGTGAGTCGGTCCCCGTTACTACTCTTATACAGCTGTGCAACCTGTCATTAGGTGCTTGGGTTCATTCGCATCGTACCCAGACTGTCACTTAGCGCGTAAATTCAGTGCTACAACAGATAGGTCTAGTCCTACACGGACTTCCTCCGCTCAACTAGTCACGTCCATCCTTCGGATCATACTGGTGAGTGTCACTGCCATGAGAGTTTAAATAACTCTAGTCCAAATGCACAGGCAGCACGCTTGTGGTTAAACTGATAGTTTTCCATTACCCAATACCCGACTTCAAATTTCAACTCCTCCCGGTCTGCCGTCGGAACATGAACTGGACTTTGCCTTGCCAGTCGGTAAAAATGAGTGTAGGAAAAGTGGCATTGATGACGCGTGAGTCTCACTATAATCGACTCCACTCATAAATCACTGTTGCCTCATCAGGGGACAATGACCTGCCAAGTATGACGAACGAACTAGTAAGACTGTGCATGTGTAGTGATCCAACTTCGCGTATAACATTTTACCTCTCGCATTTACGCACTAGTGTCTGCCGATCGCAGTCCGGTCTGACCAATCACCTTCGAGGCTGACTGAAGCGCTCTTACACTTCGGACGCCGCCCTTCTCGGGACCGGATGCGCGCTTATCCGTCTGTCAACTTCCCTGAACCTAGTCTCCACTAGCTCTGTACAGAATATACTATTTCTGAAGAAGATGCGATCATTGGGGCAAAGGTTTTTTTTTCCTGACGTTTCGGATTCCTTCGGGAATCCTTAATCATAGGTAATTGTAGGAAAGTCGGAGCCATGCGCAGATAAGCGCTATCCAACCTGGTACCCCCCTTCGTCTCTTCCCACACAGAAATGGGCCTGAAGACCATAGCGGTAAGAATCTTCCCTATTTACTTCAGCATACATATCCCAGCGGCCCACTTTGGAACTTCAGAGGTGTCTGTAGCCAAGATCATCGAAGCGCGAGTGGAATTCTGTAGCTGCCACCAATAAATCCGCCATTTCCGTCGCGAACACTCAGTGCGGAGGGCTTACCACTTAACTAACGGAGAAGTTGGTAGGGTTTTCGAGCGCATCTCAAGATTGTGGCCTGCTTTGTTGGCGTCGTTAGTTCAACCAAATATCTTTTGCGATCATATTTAATCCACTGTGTCGTCCCTTCTGGTAGTCGATGGTGCGAAATCTGACTTAAGACGCCTGTCT